TTTGTAGAGGCAGTGGGAACACAAGGCATAGACAACACTCTGGTTGGGGGGAGAGCAGCCTACTGGCTGCACTTGATATGTCCTAGAGATAGAGGACCTCTCTGTGGTGCATACAGGAGAGTCCAGAGTCTGACCCCAAGAAGAGGAGGGGGAAGGCCTTTGCAGACCCAACCAAAGGGTGGCTTTTAGGGCTACATCCCACACAACTCTGCTTGGGAGGTGGCAGGGAAGAAAGAAGGCCAATGGGGAGACTCTCCCTTTAGGCCTTTAGGAGGCCAGATCTCCATGGAGCCCTGGGATTCCTGGCTTAGCCCGGGTGCTCTTGCCTTCAGCCGGCCTCCTATAGAGCCCAGATCTCAAGCTCATTGAACTGCCCCACCTTGAGCAGACTCAGGAGGTAGATGGGATTGAGCTGCTTTGGAGTTGGATGCTGTATCCTGACCCGGCCAGGAAAGAATGTGGCAGGGCAAGGACAGCTACTGGGATGAGGAGAGGCCAAAGAAAAGGGAAGAATGATCTGTGGCTCCAACCTTCTCCAGGGCTACAAGAACCAGGATCCATGTCCCTGTCTTTGGGTAGGGCTTCCAGCTGTAGGGTGGGCCAGGAGGATCTAAGTAAAGGGAACACATGAATCATTCCTGACTCTAGTCCTGAACCGCATTGTCCAGTGGGCGTCCTGGAGCTGACTCTGTGTTGTGCTAATGAGGGAAAAGTTTAAACAAACACCTATTTCTCTTGTAGAGGCTGAAATTGCTACCAAGGAGGCCCTGACGATATACTCTCCAACATCCACCCTCCCTCCTGGTGGGTGATCTTTCTACCTTCATATCAATCCCTATGGCAAACACAGAATCCTCCAGATCATCCTGATTATGGCAGGAATGGAGCATCTCATTGCCTTCATTTCGGGACATGATGATCTTTCTCTGCACCTTTTCTTAACAATAATACGATTTTCTCTTGGAGCTAATTGTTGGGATTCCTACATTTGCCTTAACTGCTTAAACAAGAATTCTGTACTAAGAGATTATTGTCCAAGGTCTCATTTGGTATCAGAAATCAGATCCTTGTTAGTATCATGATCCTGTTTGTTGCTTAAAAATATTACTATAGGACAGTATATAAGAGAGAACCTCAAGGATTCTTTCTTGGGGCACTTAGGTGGCTCAGTGGTTGAGCATCGGCCTTTAGCTCGGGTTGTAACCCTGGGGTCCTGGGATTGAGTCCTGCTTCAGGCTTCCCATGGGGAGGCCTGCTTCTCTCTGCCTGTGTCTCTGCCTCTCTCTCATGAATAAATAAAAACCTTTAAAAAAAAAAAAAGATTCTTTCTCTCTTTTGAGACACAACCTCAAGTCTTTTAAATAAAACAAGATTAGAGAGTGGAGCTAAGGTGGCAGAGTAGCAGGAGGACCCTAGGCTTGCCTCATCCCTCAAACACAGCTAGATAAATATCAAATCATTCTGAACACCCAAGAAAGCGATCTGAGAACTGACGTAACGACCTACACGACTAGAGGGAGAGAAGAGGCCACATGGTGGAAGGTAGCAGTTGTGGAGGTGTGGTTTGGGGGAGAAGAGGACTGCAAGTGTGGCAGGGGAGAGGAAGATCTGGCCATGGAGAGAAGTGGCAGAGAGAGAGAAAGACAGAGGGAGAAGGGAGCACACAGGCGACTGCACAGGGAAAACACTTCTCCAAAGCCACTGACGAGATGGGAAAATGAGATGAGTTGATTATAGTGAGTTTTTCCAACCAGCAGAGATCTAAGACTGGAGTTCTAGAAGTCTGTGGTGTGTCTGGTGTGGAGCCCGGCAGGCATAGCCAGGCTCCCATGGGGAAGGAGGGCAGATAACCTGGAAGGTGAGCAACTGTGCAATCTGAGGACCCCCCGGGACGTGCTGGGAAAGAGAGTTCTCTCCTCTTGGGGAGCATCTGGAGAGGGGCATTGCCTCTGAGGGGACAAAAGAGCCAGCCGGCACTACTGGGCTCCCCCACCCCTTAGCACAGTGGCAAAGACACCTGCTGAGGGTGACTAACCTTGAAGCTGGCTTTTTGCTGCACTCTTCAAACTCCAAGTTCCTGTGTGTGCTGTGACTGCCCTTCTGGGGCAAAGCTTCATGAGTCCCAGAGTGGTGAGATCCTCTCCCCCAGAGGATCAGCACAGGTCCATGACATGCCAGGTCCCTAAAGTCTGTAGTTCTGAAACTCAGCCGGTGTGCCCAGGATAGAACACGGGTACACTGCACTCCCGGGTGGGCAAGCAGTCCGGACACGGACAGGGTGAAGGCAGGGATCTGATGGACGTGCGAGGAGAGATTATCTACTCTTCTGTGAGGGCTTCCCAGACAGTGGCAGGTGCAAACTCCCCTCTCCAGGGATGAGGGAGAGGGCGGAGGCCCTTTTTACCTCCTGCCCCCCATTAGCAGGGACTGTCTTCACTGAGCAGCAGAGTGGAGGCCTGAACCCCTGACACCAAACCCCATCCCCTGCACTCTGCAAGTGAGCCTGAGAACCAGAGCTGCACCCCGTCTCCCCACTAGAAGACAGGCCCCAACCCCCACATGCACCACGTCTCCTGAGTGCTGAAAAGCTTCAGCTCTGGTAGAAATAGCACCAGGTCCCTTTCGACAAGCAGACTAGAGCTCACTCCGTTAAAACTTGCCACCCTCTGGCCCACGTCCAAACACTCCTCACTGCCAGCAAGGAGAGACTCAGTCGAGGACTGGCTTGAGGGAAAGAGCAGCCAAAACACAGTGCACACAGCATACACCAGAAACGATTCCTGAAGGGCCAGGCCATGGGTAGGATATGACCACTTCTTTTTTTTTTTTTTTTTTTAATTTATTTATTTATTTATTTATTTATGATAGTCACACACACAGAGAGAGAGAGAGAGGCAGAGACACAGGCAGAGGGAGAAGCAGGCTCCATGCACCGGGAGCCAGACGTGGGATTCGATCCCGGGTCTCCAGGATCATGCCCTAGGCCAAAGGAAGGCGCCAAACTGCTGCGCCACCCAGGGATCCCTGACCACTTCTTTATGAGGCCATTTCTCTCCGGACCCGGAAACATAACAGACTTTCTTTCCTTCTTTTTTTATGATGCAATATTTAATAACATTTAATTTATTTTATCATTTTTAATTTTGTTTTAATTTTTATTTATTCATTCATGAGAAACACAAAGAGAGAGAGGCAGAGACACAGGCAGAAGAAGAAGCAGGCTCTATGCAGGGATCCCGATGTGGGACTCGATCCCACGTCTCCAGGATCACGCCCTGAGCTGAAGACGGCTCTAAACCACTGAGCCCCCCGGGCTGCCCTCATTTTTAAATTAAATTCAATTAATTAAAATACAGTCTGCAGGAAGTTTCAGAGGTAGAGTTCAGTGATTCATCATGACATAATACCCAGTGCCCATCACCCCATGGACCCATCTTTATGCCCACCACTCAGTTACCCCATCCACCACGCCCTTCCCTTCCAGGAACCCCTCCCCCGCCTATATTTATAAGTTTCCTATGATTCAGTCTCTCATGGTTTGTCTCCCTTTCTGATTTCATCTATTTTTGTCACCCTGGAGGGATTATTTTGTCATCGTAGAGGATCTATGATTAGATTTTAGTTCTTTTATTTCTCCAGAAAAGGATTCTCTAGTATTTTCTATGCTCTTTTGAAGCCCAGCTAGTCTGTTTACAATCATTAATCTGAACTCTAGTTCTAATATCTTATTTATATACATACCAATTAGGTCCCTACCAGTCAGTACTGCCTCTTGTTCTCTTTTTTGAGGTAAGTTGTTCTTACCTTCAGTGGCTTTCTGGTAATACTATGTACAAGAGAAGAGGGTTGGCGGACTTGGAAAGGAGCAAGGATGGCAGAGTGAGACGTTCTGCTGCCAGCCGGCCGTTGGACACGGGGCGATAAAGCCCCCGGACAGTGCAGGGCTTCTGGTGGGTTTGAGGAAGAGCATTTTCTTTGGCTTCCAGGTGCTTTGGTATTCATCTTGAGAAGAAAACAAAATTCTGAACTCAGGATTTGGCAAGGATTCTCTGTTGTCTCCTGGAGTAGGTAGTCCTCCTTTTATCCAGCCACTTTCCCTATTCTTGAAATGTGGATCTCTCTTCTCTATACATTTTACCTCCATGATTTGGATCAGAAAAGGCTGCTTTTCTTTTTGTTCCACTTCTCAGATTCAACCTTGAGAAGCTCCTAGGATGCAATTGTCTTGCTGAGTTCTCCAAGAAGAAAGAAGCAACTGACCTGCTTGTTCTGCTTTTTTTGCCTAATTATAAAGAAATTATTTTGGAAGCTGAAGCTGATTTAAATTTGAAACAGGTGCTTTTAGATGTTGGCATTTGTGAATTATTTACCTTTTGTTCCAAACAAGAAGACTAAATAAATAGCAAGTATGGATGACATCAGGTTTTTTTTTTTTAATGTCTTCTAGTTTCAGCTACTGTCATAAACACAGTTGAGTCTGCAAGGAGTAAATTCCAAATGTGCATTCTAATATGAAATGAAAGAGATGGTTAAAAACTACAGATATTAAATATCTAAATCTTGACTCATCCTGTGAAGTACATTTGCTGGAAAAGAACAAAGGTCCAATTTTGCAGTAAAACCTTTGATGTGACAAAGAAGCATAAAGACAAGATAATGTGAGGCTAACAGAATCTCTGTAAAATACACATCTTTACATGTGTAAATCTACATTTTGGACAAGAAGAGGGATTTTTCTCCTAGAAAAGGAAGCTGTTGTTGGCTTCTATCTGAGAAGTCTTTGGAGATTTTTAAATGATTTTTCATTCTTCTTATAATATTTTTTTTTAATTTTTTTTTATTTTTATTTATTTATGATAGTCACACAGAGAGAGAGAGAGTCAGAGACACAGGCAGAGGGAGAAGCAGGCTCCATGCACCGGAAGCCCGACGTGGGATTCGATCCCGGGTCTCCAGGATCGCGCCCTGGGCCAAAGGCAGGCGCCAAACCGCCGCGCCACCCAGGGATCCCTGGAGATTTTTAAATGATTTTTCATTCTTCTAAGGAAGGATCACATTGTACATTTGCTAACTCTATGAATGCATGCTTGGGTTTATTGAAAGGTTGGAAAAGGGAAACAAAACAGCTAGCTACAAGTCCAGTTGGAACCCTGTTCACCTTCTTCAGATGAGAGAGGCTGCTATATTGCAAATAACTTCATTCTTTTTTTGGACTCTTACATATACTTGGGACTTGGTTTTCCATGCTGTGAAGACAGGAACAAAGGTGGCTTAAGTGGTTTTTCTGTCCAGAAAATATGGCAGATCCTCTAGTATGACCTGCCTTCAACTTTGGGCATGGAAGAATGGGTGTGTGTGTGGGGGGGGGGGAGGTTCCCAGAGAAAAAGAAGCAAAAATGCCTTATGCAGCTCCTTCTGACTTTATGGCATTTTATATTCTGTAGCTCCAGTTTTCTAAAAACATAACATTTTTCCTTTGACCCAAGATGGGCACTTGAATGTTTGGTTTATTTTTCCAAGTGAAGTGTAATGTTAGGCTATAAAGGCTGGGACTCAGGTAACTTTCCCCAGTTGGAACTGAACTTTCTCATCAAAGAGTGGACTTCATTCGCAATGTTCCCAAATTTGTGGTTGATTCAGAAGAAATTCAGGGTCTAGAAAAAACCTCGAACAAGAAAAATAGTTCAATAAAATGTGGATTTTGGGATCCCTGGGTGGCGCAGCGGTTTGGCGCCTGCCTTTGGCCCAGGGCGCGATCCTGGAGACCCGGGATCGAATCCCACGTCGGGCTCCCGGTGCATGGAGCCTGCTTCTCCCTCTGCCTGTGTCTCTGCCTCTCTCTCTCTCTCACTGTGTGCCTATCATAAATAAATTTAAAAAAATTTAAAAAAAATTTTCCATTCAAAGATTCTATAACTTAGCATCAAGAAAAATGGCAGGAATTTGCCAAGGCAGAGTGCTGAACAGGAGAGGCACTGAATGTAGGAAGGGACACAAAATGTCCAAGTGCTGCACCATGTGGTCTGGTTCGAGGTCTCTGGAATGTAAGCCCACAAGTTCTAGTGGTCTAAAATTGAACAGCAGCTCATCCAAAGGCAGCCTGCACAAAGGCAGGGTTGCGCAGCTGGACCCTACTCTCCTGGGCTCCTTGGTAGCTTCGCCAGCCTGGAGAAAGAACAGGTTTGTCTCAGTGGCTGAGGAAATCCTCAGTTGGTGATCCCGGGGCTGCCCTCTGCCAGCACTCCTACCCGAGCCCAGCCCTCGCCAAGCGGCAGCACTTGAACCCAGTCATCTCCCCAGCCCTGGGCCCGGCCACCTTCACAAACCTCCTCCCTCCTGAAGCAAATCACTGAGTCAGCCCAGGCCGTGTTACCAATGGTCTGAGCTTAGGGCTAAAGTGAGGCATAGATCGATCTGCTCCCTTGACTCAGGTTCTAATTCTCCCTCTCCTGGCAGGCCCTCAGGGACCTGCTGCGGCATCTGACCTACACTTGACAAGGCAAGGACCTACACTTGACAACTGTAACCTTGGGGAACGCTGCAGGCACAGATCCTTCCTTTCCTGCCCTCCCACCTCCTGGCCAGCAGCACACGGAGCGCTGGGCATGATGATCCCTTCCCCCACCCCATCCATTCCTGGTGCTGCTCAACTGTCAGCACATGCAGGGCCTCAGTTCCCCCATATCCCAGGTCAGCTCTGCTCAAAGCAGGGGCTGCTCAGTGGCTCAGGATCTGAGGTCCTCGGGAAGCCGGCTGCCAGGCACTACACCAACCTGAGCCAGAATTCCTACCCGTGCACACAGAACTGGCCCCCTTCTAGTCTTGTCCTCCTCAGTCTCTACAGCTCACCCTTGCTTTCCATGCAAAAACCTGAGCCCCATTCTGGGGGGTACATAGCACTACTCTCTGGCACTTAGAGCTGCTCTGCAGAGGCCTTCCCACTCCCTCTTGCTGGGCTTAGACTCTGGACCCTCTCTTTGGAAGCCCCTGAATGGAGTCCTCTCCCCCTTGAGACATCACAAGGAGCCTGCAGGCTGCTGTCATTCAAAGGTGAATACCGCCTGGGTTGTGGGTCCCTCCTGTCCCACACCACCCTCTCTGGGCCCAGATTGACTCTCCATAGAGACTCAGGTCTGCCCAGGCCCGGCTTGGTCAATCCCCTTAGTATCCCCAGGCCTTAAATTTTTGGGGGCCCCTCTCTCTTGCCAGGTACCTGAACCATGAGCGTGTTTCAGCACTCAGGGCTGAGCTCATCCAGGTTATTGCTAACAAGTGATGTGAGACCTCTTTCACTTGGTCTCGTTGCTCTGTGAGAAGGTTCGGCGAGTGAGCAGGTGCAGCCTGGGGATTCCCCTGTCCCTGTCCTTGCCCCAGGCCATGGGGCCCTCTCTTCCCTCCCATTGTGCTGCCGGTACCTGTCCCTTTAAAGGACCCCGACATGGATGCCAAGGAGGATGGCACAGTAGAGGAACAGGAGGAAAATCCAGGTGCTGGGTGTGCTGCCCGAGGCCCCGGATCGGGCCATGTCTTGAGGCCTGCTTTGTGGCACTGCAATGAAAACACAAGAGTGAGAGCCCCAGTCTGGTACCCAGACTGGGAGAAGCTTCCTCAGTGCCCGCAGCCCCAAGGCCATCCTACCAGGCAGACAGAGTCTATCATCCCATTGTGGCAGCTGTGGTGATAAGTCCTGATGTCTGGAGGGAGGGAAGGGACACATCCTGTCCCCTAGGGGCTCCTATAGCCTTAGGGGAAGCAGGGGTGGCCATATAAGTTGTTCCATTGTGACAGGACCAGAAGTGCTGGAGGATGAGGATGCTGACAGCGACCACCTCTCAGGAGCTGACAGCCCAGGTGGCACTAACAGACTTCCAGCAATGCCCCAGGTGACGAGAAAAGATCAGTGATTCTCAGAAAAGGGAACAGTAAGAAGACAATCTCTGGAGCCAGACTGACACCCCCCTGTTTGAGGCCAGCAGGAAATCTAAGAAATACCAGAGGACTACAGGTGGGTACAGCCAGGAGGTGATTCCAGGAGAGGAGAAGGGAAAGGAAGGATGCTAGAACAGACCTGGGGCCATTATTCCACCAAGAAAAGTCACCATGGATGGATTAATCTCTCTCTCTTCCTTTCTCTCTCTCTCTCTCTCACACACACTCACACACAGGCACACTGAGTGGGGTAGGTCAAACCCGTTTCAAGAGAACACGATTCCATCCAATCTTCTGAGTTACCTGTTGTCTCCAGCTTCTCATCCCAGTGGTTCATTACGTATTCCATCCAGCTCTTACAATCTCCATTGGAGACCTTCGTGAGGAAGTTGGTCACATCTCTGTCACTGTCCAATGTTCCCTGAAACTGTCGGCCTGCAGGTTGAAGCACTGTCCACACTCCATTCTCTGAGTCAAAGAGGTGGGTTACCTGCCCATTGAAGGCAAACTTCCAGGATGCACTGGTGTATCTGCTGGCCCCACGAACACACTTCATCTCACCATGCAGGTCGAGAGAACCTACCCCGCCCCGCCACAGGAAAAGAGTCAGCCTCTGGTCTTAAACAATCCTTTCTTTGCACCTGTGCTTTCCTCTCCTCAGCTCCCCTCCAATCCTCCCAGTCCTATTCTGTTCTCCTTGTCTGCCTGGCTGTTGGGCTGCTCGTGTAGGCCCAACTTCCAAGGTTTCCATGAACACCATAGCTCCCTGGGCCTACCAAACTGCTCCGCTTCCATCCTGGGCCTTTCACACTTACCATTCTTAGGGTAAATCTCTGCTTTGGTGTCACGCACTTTCTTTTGGAGCTCTTCCATCAGGTCGTTCAGAGTTTCTTTCTGTGTCTCCCTAAACCCTGTATCATTCATCCTCATCCTCATAGGACCAACAAGTGTGATCTCCTTGCTCTGACAGTTGTAGGAAAGAAATAGGTTTCTTTCGACGTAGCCTCGAACCTGACACCATGGTCGTCCAGCACTGGACTGAGGTTTGACGGAGAATTCACAAAAAAGAGAAGTAGCATCTGTGAAGTAAAAACGCAGGTAGTGGTTGGAGTTGGAAGAGGAGAGTGGCAGGACCTCTGTCCCATCCATGCATCAGCATAGCATCATCTCTGTAGCGCTGGGCTGTCAAGGCACGGCCTGCCCCTGCAAAACCTCACCTTCTTTGATAAGTGAGAGGTCACGATGAGGGGTCACAGGATTTACTATAGCTGTGGAGATGGTGACCATCTGCCATTACGATTGACCTGGAAGCTTTAAAAAAAGGTTGTCCTCACTGCACAGTCTCGAGTATCAGGAATTGCCAAGGAAGACAGCAGAAGAAGGGATTAAAAGGTTCAGAGACATGCATATGACAGATAACATATGGTAAGAGATACCAAAAACAAAACTAAAAATATATCCACCAACTATACTCATGGATAGGTCTGAAAGACTTTCTATATTAAACTCATGAAGAATGCATGGTGAGACAGGCACCAGCATTGTCAAGGAGCTCAGTTATGGTTGTAGTTGATGGCCAAGCTTGGCAGTAGGAGACTGTTTTGCAGAGATAGATGCCCAGTAGCATGTATTTGGGGAGATAAATCCTGAAATAAGAGATTTGGGATACAGGTGCTCAAGTGTCAGAGCAGGGAGACAGCAATGATTGAAATGACCCTAGAGGGTGGAATGCCAGCCCTGGCCCTGCCCCACAAACTGCTCTCCATCCTTTTGACTCACAGAACACCGTGATTGGAGAGGCAAAATAGCTGGACAGCCAACCCAGGGGCCGCTGGATTTAATAAAAACAAAGACCAAGCCCCAGAGGTCATGAGGATGAGGCTGAAGGCAGCTACCCAACAGCAAGTCTGAGTCTTTTGCCAGGTTTCAGAGCTGAGGCGCTTCTCAGAGCTGGAACCCTTTAGTAGAAGCAGAAGCCAGCGCCGATGAGTAGGGACCCTTCAGGTCTGCAGCTAGAGCAATGCTTCCTGCTCACCTTCCCCAAAAAGCCACGTGCTCATTACAGGTGTAGGTACACAGTGGGGAGCAGAGGCCATCCAGACATTCAGAGTGCGACCTAGTGTGTGAGTTGACATCATCGTCAGGGATCCAAGTGTCAATATGGCCTCGTGTAACTGCTGTAGTGCAGGGTAATGTGTGTGTTGTACATGGTGAGGGGTGAGGGTCAGGTCATGAAAACGCAGGTGTCCCAGGTACTCTTCACTTGATGTCATTTGGTTCAAGTACCCACAGTGATTATTATTTGTAGCAGTAATGAGAAATCTTTGCAGTTGTTTGGGTTGAGGGCTGTGCAGTAGGGAATTTCAAGTACGATATTCTTATGGTGTCTTCTCTTTTCTCCAAGTACAATGTAAAAGAGGGCCCTTTCCTGGATCAAATGACAGAGTTGAATGTTGACCTTAAAAGCTGAGGATTCCAACAGGCGCAGGCCGGGAGCACAGGGCGCCGGGACACAGCCCAGGATCCGGCCTCCCCCGGGACAGGCAGAGGCTGGGAGGGCCCAGGACAGCGAGGACGCTCATGCCCCGAGCTGAGCACATCAGCGGCCCCGCCCCGGAGCCTCCAGGCCCTGCGGACGGAGAGCCGAGAGCCCGAGCCCCGTAGTTCCTGAGGAGGCTGAATCCAGGCTTCCAGAGTTGCCATAGCAACTGCGGCTGTTCCTCCTGGGGCCCCACGGGGTGAACAACCTCCGCTGAGCCCTGCAGCAGGCAGGGGCGGAGCAGCTCCCCCAAGTGCTGACACCTGAAAATCAGCGCAGCAGGCCCCTCCCCCAGAAGACCAGCTGGAAGGACCAGTTCCAGAGGAAGTCAAGGGACTTAAAGTCTACAGATTCAGAAGATACTCCCCCGTGTTTTTTGTTTTTTTTCTTTTTTCTTTTCTTTTTGATTTCTGATTGCTTCCCCCACCCCCCTTTTTTTTCACCTTTCTTTCTTTTTCTTTCTCTTTTTCTCTTTTTTTCCTTTTTCTTTTCTTTTTCTTTTTTCTCTTTCTCTTTCCTTTTCTTCTCTCTCTTTCTCTCCTTTTCCCAATACAACTTGTTTTTGGCCACTCTGCACTGAGCAAAATGACTAGAAGGAAAACCTCACCTCAAAAGAAAGAATCAGAAACAGCCCTCTCTCCCACAGAGTTACAAAATCTGGATTACAATTCAATGTCAGAAAGCCAATTCAGAAGCACCATTATACAGCTACTGGTGGCTCTAGAAAAAAGCATTAAGGACTCACGAGACTTCATGACTGCAGAATTTAGATCCAATCAGGCAGAAATTAAAAATCAATTGAATGAGATGCAATCCAAACTAGAAGACCTAACGACGAGGGTTAACGAGGTGGAAGAACGAGTGAGTGACATAGAAGACAAGTTAATGGCAAAGAGGGAAACTGAGGAAAAAAGAGACAAACAATTAAGGGACCATGAAGACAGATTAAGGGAAATAAATGATAGCCCGAGGAAGAAAAACCTACGTTTAATTGGGGTTCCCGAGGGCGCCGAAAGGGACAGAGGGCCAGAATATGTATTTGAACAAATCCTAGCTGAAAACTTTCCCAATCTGGGAAGGGAAACAGGCATTCAGATCCAGGAAATAGAGAGATCCCCCCTAAAATCAATAAAAATCGTTCAACACCTCGACATCTAATAGTGAAACTTGCAAATTCCAAAGATAAAGAGAAGATCCTTAAAGCAGCAAGAGACAAGAAGTCCCTGACTTTCATGGGGAGGAATATTAGGGTAACAGCAGACCTCTCCACAGAGACGTGGCAGGCCAGAAAGGGCTGGCAGGATATATTCAGGGTCCTAAATGAGAAGAACATGCAACCAAGAATACTTTATCCAGCAAGGCTCTCATTCAAAATGGAAGGAGAGATAAAGAGCTTCCAAGACAGGCAGGAACTGAAAGAATATGTGACCTCCAAACCAGCTCTGCAAGAAATTTTAAGGGGGACTCTTAAAATTCCCCTTTAAGAAGAAGTTCAGTGGAACAATCCACAAAAACAAGGACTAAATAGATATCATGATGACACTAAACTCATATCTGTCAATAGTAACTCTAAACGTGAACGGGCTTAATGACCCCATCAAAAGGCGCAGGGTTTCAGACTGGATAAAAAAGCAGGACCCATCTATTTGCTGTCTACAAGAGACTCATTTTAGACAGAAGGACACCTACAACCTGAAAATAAAAGGTTGGAGAACCATTTACCATTCAAATGGTTCTCAAAAGAAAGCAGGGGTAGCCATCCTTATATCAGATAAACTAAAATTTACCCCGAAGACAGTAGTGAGAGACGAAGAGGGACACTATATCATACTTAAAGGATCTATCCAACAAGAGGACTTAACAATCCTCAATATATATGCCCCGAATGTGGGAGCTGCCAAATACTTAAACAAATTATTAACCAAAGTGAAGAAATACTTAGATAATAATACACTTATACTTGGTGACTTCAATCTAGCTCTTTCTACCCTCGATAGGTCTTCTAAGCACAACATCTCCAAAGAAACGAGAGCTTTAAATGATACACTGGACCAGATAGATTTCACAGATATCTACAGAACTTTACATCCAAACTCAACTGAATACACATTCTTCTCAAGTGCACATGGAACTTTCTCCAGAATAGACCACATACTGGGTCACAAATCGGGTCTGAGCCGATACCAAAAGATTGGGATCGTCCCCTGCATATTCTCAGACCATAACGCCTTGAAATTAGAACTCAATCACAAGAAGAAGTTTGGAAGGACCTCAAACACGTGGAGGTTAAGGACCATCCTGCTAAAAGATAAAAGGGTCAACCAGGAAATTAAGGAAGAATTAAAAAGATCCATGGAAACTAATGAGAATGAAGATACAACTGTTCAAAATCTTTGGGATGCAGCAAAAGCAGTCCTGAGGGGGAAATACATCGCAATACAAGCATCCATTCAAAAACTGGAAAGAACTCAAATACAAAAGCTAACCTTACACATAAAGGAGCTAGAGAAGAAGCAGCAAATCGACCCGACGCCCAGCAGAAGAAGAGAGTTAATTAAAATTCGAGCAGAACTCAACGAAATTGAGACCAGAAGAACTGTGGAACAGATCAATAGAACCAGGAGTTGGTTCTTTGAAAGAATTAATAAGATAGATAAACCATTAGCCAGCCTTATTAAAAAGAAGAGAGAGAAGACTCAAATTAATAAAATCATGAATGAGAAAGGAGAGATCACTACCAACACCAAGGAAATACAAACGATTTTAAAAACATATTATGAACAGCTCTACGCCAATAAATTAGGCAATCTAGAAGAAATGGACGCATTCCTGGAAAGCCACAAACTACCAAAACTGGAGCAGGAAGAAATAGAAAACCTGAACAGGCCAATAACCAGGGAGGAAATTGAAGAAGTCATCAAAAACCTCCCAAGACACAAGAGTCCAGGGCCAGATGGCTTCCCAGGGGAATTCTATCAAACGTTTAAAGAAGAAATCATACCTATTCTACTAAAGCTGTTTGGAAAGATAGAAAGAGATGGAGTACTTCCAAATTCATTCTATGAGGCCAGCATCACCTTAATTCCAAAACCAGACAAAGACCCCACCAAAAAGGAGAATTACAGACCAATATCCCTGATGAACATGGATGCAAAAATTCTCAACAAGATACTAGCCAATAGGATCCAACAACACATTAAGAAAATTATTCACCATGACCAAGTAGGATTTATCCCCGGGACACAAGGCTGGTTCAACACTCGTAAAACAATCAATGTGATTCATCATATCAGCAAGAGAAAAACCAAGAACCATATGATCCTCTCATTAGATGCAGAGAAAGCATCTGACAAAATACAGCATCCATTCCTGATCAAAACCCTTCAGAGTGTAGGGATAGAGGGAACTTTCCTCGACATCTTAAAAGCCATCTACGAAAAGCCCACAGCAAATATCATTCTCAATGGGGAAGCACTGGGAGCCTTTCCCCTAAGATCAGGAACAAGACAGGGATGTCCACTCTCACCACTGCTATTCAACATAGTATTGGAAGTCCTAGCCTCAGCAATCAGACAACAAAAAGACATTAAAGGCATTCAAATTGGCAAAGAAGAAGTCAAACTCTCCCTCTTCGCCGATGACATGATACTCTACATAGAAAACCCAAAAGCCTCCACCCCAAGATTGCTAGAACTCATATAGCAATTTGGTAGCGTGGCAGGATACAAAATCAATGCCCGGAAATCAATGGCATTCCTATACACTAACAATGAGACTGAAGAAAGAGAAATTAAGGAGTCAATCCCATTTACAATTGCACCCAAAAGCATAAGATACCAAGGAATAAACCTAACCAAAGAGGTAAAGGATCTATACCCTAAAAACTACAGAACACTTCTGAAAGAAATTGAGGAAGACACAAAGAGATGGAAAAATATTCCATGCTCGTGGATTGGCAGAATTAATATTGTGAAAATGTCAATGTTACCCAGGGCAATTTACACGTTCAATGCAATCCCTATCAAAATACCATGGACTTTCTTCAGAGACTTAGAACAAATTATTTTAAAAAAGAAAACCATATCTGGGGGCATCACAATGCCAGATTTCAGGTTGTACTACAAAGCTGTGGTCATCAAGACAGTGTGGTACTGGCACAAAAACAGACACATAGACCAATGGAACAGAATAGAGAACCCAGAAGTGGACCCTGAACTTTATGGTCAACTAATATTCGATAAAGGAGGAAGGACGATCCACTGGAAGAAAGACAGTCTCTTCAATAAATGGTGCTGGGAACATTGGACATCCACATGCAGAAGAATGAAACTAGACCACTCTCTTGCACCAGACACAAAGATAAACTCAAAATGGATGAAAGATCTAAATGTGAGACAAGATTCCATCAAAATCCTAGAGGAGAACACAGGTAACACCCTTTTTGAACTTGGCCACAGTAACTTCTTGCAAGATACATCCACGAAGGCAAAAGAAACAAAAGCAAAAATGAACTATTGGGACTTCATCAAGATAAGAAGCTTTTGCACAGCAAAGGATACAGTCAACAAAACTCAAAGACAACCTACAGAATGGGAGAAGATATTTGCAAATAACATATCAGATAAAGGGCTAGTTTCCAAAATCTATAAAGAACTTATTAAACTCAACACCAAAGAAACAAACAATCCAATCATGAAATGGGCAAAAGACATGAAGAGAAATCTCACAGAGGAAGACATAGACATGGCCAACATGCACGTGAGAAAATGCTCCGCATCACTTGCCATCAGGGAAATACAAATCAAAACCACAATGAGATACCACCTCACACCAGTGAGAATGGGGAAAATTAACAAGGCAGGAAACAACAAATGTTGGAGAGGATGCGGAGAAAAGGGAACCCTCTTACACTGTTGGTGGGAATGTGAACTGGTGCAGCCACTCTGGAAAAATGTGTGGAGGTTCCTCAAAGAGTTAAAAATAGACCTGCCCTACGACCCAGCAATTGCACTGTTAGGGATTTACCCCAAAGATTCAGATGCAATGAAACGCCGGGACACCTGCACCCCGATGTTTATAGCAGCCATGTCCACAATAGCCAAACTGTGGAAGGAGCCTCGGTGCCCATCGAAAGATGAATGGATAAAGAAGATGTGGTTTATGTATACAAGGGAATATTACTCAGCCATTAGAAACGACAAATACCCACCATTTGCTTCAACGTGGATGGAACTGGAGGGTATTATGCTGAGTGAAGTAAGTCAATCGGAGAAGGACAAACAGTGTATGTTCTCATTCATTTGGGGAATATGAATAATAGTGAAAGGGAATATAAGCGAAGGGAGAAGAAATGTGTGGGAAATATCAGAAAGGGAGACAGAACATAAAGACTTCTAACTCTGGGAAATGAACTAGGGGTGGTGGAAGGGGAGGAGGGCGGGGGGTGGGGGTGAATGGGTGACGGGCACTGAGGGGGACACTTGACGGGATGAGCACTGGGTGTTATTCTGTATGTTGGTAAATTGAACAGCAATAAAAATTAATATATTAAAAAAAAAAAGCTGAGGATTCAAGGGTGTGAACCTGGTGAACAGATTCTCTGCAGATATTAAATAGGGCATAGGCCTGTTGTAACTACTCATGTCTGCTGCCAGCAGGGAAACAGCCATAGGCATACACAGGTGAGTGTGTGGCCTGGACCTGCTTCTTGGGCCACAGGACCCTGTAGACCCTGTGACACAGAGGTATTGTGGTAGCAAACATGCTAAGTGCAGTTTTACATCTTGATGCAAGGTCAGGAAGAGACCCCTAGTGATGGCAGCTGGGAATGACATTTAAAAGTGTGCAGGTGGCCAAGTTCAAAAAGGTTGTTGCCTGTGTTCTCTCCTCTAGGATTTTGATGGATTGTCTCACATTTAGATCTTTCATCCATTTTGAGTTTATCTCTGTGTATGTATGGCCACAGTGACTTCTTGCAAGATACATCTATGAAGGCAAGGGAAACAAAAGCAAAAATGAACTATTGGGACTTAAGATAAAAATCTTCTGCACAGCAAAAGAAACAGTCAACAAAACTAAAAGACAACCTACAGAATGGGAGAAGATATTTGCAAATGACCTATCAGATAAGGGGCTAGTATCCAAGATCTACAAAGAACTTATTAAACTCAACAGCAAAGGAACAATCCAATCATGAAATGGGCAAAAGACGAACAGAAATCTCACAGAGGAAGACATGGCCAACAAGCACTGCTCCTTATCACTTCCCATCAGAGAAATACAAATCAAAACCACCATGAGATACCACCTCACCCCAGTGAGAATGGGGAAAATCAACAAGGCAGGAAACCACAAATGTTGGAGAGGATGTGGAGAAAGGGGAACTCTCGCACTGTTGGTGAGAATGTGAACTGGTGCAGCCACTCTGGAAACATGCGTGGAGGTTCCTCAAAGAGTTAAAAAAAGACCTGCCCTACAACCCAGCAATTGCACTGCTGGGGACTTACCCCAAAGATATAGATGCAGTGAGAGACATCTGCACCCCAATGTTTCTAGCAGCAATGTCCACAATAGCCAAACTGTGGAAGGAGCCTCGGTGTCCATCGAAAGATGAATGGATAAAGAAGATGTGGTCTATGTATACAATGGAATATTCCTCAGCCATTAGAAACGACAAATACCCACCATTTGCTTGGACGTGGATGGAACTGGAGGGTATTATGCTGAGTGAAGTAAGTCAATCAGAGGAGAAACATTATATGGTCTCACTCATTCAGGGAATATAAAAAATAGTGAAAGGGGAAAGGAGAGAAAATGAGTGGGGGAATATCAGGGAGGGTGACAAAACATGAGAGACTCCTATCTCTGGTAAATGAACAAGGGGTAGTGGAAGGGGAGGTGGGCGGGGGGTGGGGTGACTGGGTGTCAGGCACTTGAGGGGGGCACCTGATGGGATGAGAGCTGGGTGTTATACGATATGTTGAAAAATCAAACTCCAATTAAAAAAATTAAAATACAAAAGTTTGCAGGTGGAACGCCTGGGCTGCTCAGCGGTTGAGGGTCCGCTTTCGGCTCAGAGCGCGATCCTGGAGACCCGGGATCGAGTCCCCCACGTCGGGCTCCCTGCATGGAGCCTGCTTCTCTCTGCTGTGTCTCTGCCTCTCTCTCTCTCTCTCTCTCTCTCTCTCTCTCTCTCTCTCTCTCTGCGCTTCACATGAAAAACTAAGTAAAATCTTTAAAAAGCAAAAAATACAAGTTGGCAGGGACAGCCCAGGGAGCCGCAGCGGGGAGGTCCGCGGTCCAGAGCTGGGACGTGCTGGCTGGCGCGCGGCTGCTGGAGGAGCGCCAGGCGCGGCACATCCCTGGACGCTCAGCCAGAGTCGCCGGGAAGTGGCCAGAAGTGGGGATGGGGACTCCCGAGACCTCGTCGGGGTGGCGCAGAGTCGGGGGGCTGAGTGGGGACCAGGCCCTGCGCCATCGCCCGGTCCTGCCCCCAACTGGCGGCTCAGGGCTCGGGCTCGGCTCCCCGAGGGGCAGGAGGCGGCCCGGGGCGAGCGCGGACTCTCAGGGCCGGCCCTGCTCCCTCCCCCGGACTTGGCCGCCCAAGTCGCCTCTTTCAGGTCCCGGAGGGAGACGAGCGCCCCGCGGCCGCCGCCGAGCCCCGGGAGCCTCCGCGGGGTCCCTCGGACGGGCGGCTGCACCCCCCTCCCCCCCCCCCACCCCTCCCTCCTCTCCATCCTCCTTCCCCCCCACCCCCCGCCCCAAGGTTCCCGAAACCCCGGGACTCACCTGTCGCCCGGCCTGACGCCCCCCGGGACCAGTACAGGAGGACCAGGAGCCCGAAGGGCACAAAGTGCCGCCGGATGCGGGGGGCCGCAGGGAGCGGCTTCCCGGGCCGGCGCCGGCGCACTCCCCGGCCCCGGCGGCGCGGAGCTCCGGGGCTGAGCGGGGCTCGGAGGCGGAGCGGGGCCGCGCTGCCGGCGGGCGCCCCAGGGCTTTGCGCCGCAGCACAGGTCCTGCTCCTTGCGGGTTTTACCGGGAGGGACTCGTACTCAGGGCTAGAGATTCTTCCCGCTGTCTCTGCCCTGCTCGCGGAGGCCAGGCTGCCAGCGCAGGTTTGGGGGCGGATTGCCGGGTTGCTGAAGGATCCCATCTATCCGCTGCCAGGACGTGCTACGAGTTCAGCGGAGCGCAGCGGTGCCAAGTCCAGGCAGCACACAGGGGAAATGGGCGGGGCCTCAGTCAGGTGACGCGGGGACTGAGCTCTGCGGCTCTCTAAAAAAGGGCTTTGAATATTACTCTGCCAAAAAAAAAAAAATTCCTCAGCCATTAGAAACGACAAATACCATTTGCTTCGATGTGGGTGGAACTGGAGGGTAATATGCCGAGTGAAAGTAAGCCAATCGGAGAAGGACAAACATTATATAGTCTCATTCATTTGGGGAAAATAAAAAATAGTGAAAGGGAATAAAGGGGAAAGGAGAAAAAATGAGTGGGAAATATCAGAGAGGGGGACAGAACATGAGAGACGACTAACTCTGGGAAACGAACAAGGGGTGGTGGAAGGGGGGTGGGGGTGACTGGGTGACAGGCACTGGGGTGGGCACTTGATGGGATGAGCACTGGGTGTTATTCTATATGTTGGCAAATAGAACACCAATAAAAAAATTTTAAAAATTAAAAAGACAGGAAAATGAAAAAAAGGGGGGGGCGCTTGGAGGAATGACTCACCCTCCTATCTCAACTTTTAATGTTGTTCTGCAGTGAACCTAGAATACCCTGATTCTCTGGCCTTTTATTTTTAATCTTTACGTTTCATTTTCAGGGTGGGCTCTTGGAAGTGATTGTATGTGCACTGGATTATTTTTTAATCTAACTTGTGACTTTCAGTTCTTTAATTGGAGGGTGTTTTAGTACTTTATCTTTACTGCGATCACTAATAAAGTAGGAGTTATCTCAGCCATCATAGTTTTCATGTAACATGCCTTAAAGATTCCCACTCCATGTCTGCATTCCTTTTACTGTACTGAGTTTTGTTTTTTGGGTTTTTTTTTTTTTTTAAGATTTTACTTATTTGTTCATGAGAGACACAGTGAGAGAGAGGTAGAGACACAGGCTGAGAGAGAAGCAGGCTCCATGCAGGGAGCCAGATGCCGGAGTTCCTCCCGGCACTGGATCCCAGGACTCCAGGATCAGGCCCTGGGCCAAAGTCAGGCGCTCAACTGCTGAGGCACCCAGGCGACCCTGGAGCCTCCATTTTATATTCCATCTCATTGAAAGTCTTTTTGAGTACAACTTGATTTGATTTTGGTTCTTTTATTTCCCCAGAAAGGAATTCTCTACTGTCTTCTATGCTCTTTTCAAGCCCAGATAATCTATTTATAATCATTAATCTGAACTCTAGTTTCAACACCTTACAAATATCCATTCTGATTAGGTCCACTCTGAAAACCTCTGGGGAAGAGTCTGCCAGATTTTGCTGACAAAACTCTTCAGGGACATGGGAGAGGGTGAGATTAAGAGGGGTACAGTTATGGGTATGACATATTTACAGAATTCTTCCTTAGGGGGAGCCCCCACCCCCTCCTTAGTGCTCCTCCACTGTCTGGAGTCCTTTGTTTGGTGACTGGCAACCTCTGGCAGCAAGGACAGAAATGGCATCCCAAGGAGAGGAGCAAGACTCATAGCATACATAGCCTTCTGGAGGAGCTTGCCCCAACCTTAAAGGTATTACCACCTAGCTGGCACTGTAAGTGAAGTGTTTTTTTGTTTTTTTGTTTTTTCTTTAAAGGCCGTTGTACCATTCTATCAAGCCAGCTGCTTCAGAATGGTGGGGAAGATGCTAAGGCCAGTACGTTCCATGAGCATGGGCCCATCGCCACATTTCTTTTCTTGTCAAGTGAGTTCCTTTATCAGAAGCAACAGGGTATAGAATGCAGTGACAGTGGATAAGGAACTATGTAAGTCCGTGGATGTGACTTTTGGCAAAAGTCTGCATGCAAAGAAGGCAAATCAATATCCACAATAAGTATCTATTTCAAAAAAGATGAATGCTGTGCCTACTAGGCTGGGGTGGTTGGGTATAATCACCATGCCAGCTGGCAGATCACCCTGGGCAGTGGTGCCATATCGGGGCTCAGTGTGAGTCTTGGCTGCTGGCAGACTGGGTCCTGAGCAGTGGGCACAGCCACGTCAGCCTTAGTGAATGGAACTCCATGCATCTAAGCCCATGTATAACATCCATTCCTGCCACCACAACCACTCTGTTCATGAGCACACTGGGCAATTTGAGGTGCCCGGGGAAACAGGCTGACTGGCACCCCCAGAACAGGTCATCCTAGCCACTTCATTCTTAAAATCGTTCTCTTCTGAAGCCACACTTTGGTGAGCATTCAAATGGAACATACATATCTTCATGTTTTCAGAGAATACTAGCCACAAAACTCTCCCCCAGATTTCCTTTTGGATTTCCAATTTCACCAAATTTCCAATTGGATTTTCCAAGTCCCTGGCCATCCACCCAAACCATTGAAATTGGTATATAATTGCACATCTGCCCATTTCTCCTTTCCAGGAAAGTGTACAGCCAGGTGTACTGCCTAAAGTTGTACTTGTTGATGAAATTTCCCTTACCCACTGACACTCAGGAATAATCCAGAAAAGGGCTATAATGCTGAGGCCCAACCCCGAGTATCTTACAGAAACATCTGAAAACCAGGCCTGAGTCTTCTCTTCCTCTGTCAACTGATAGTAGGGAACTTCCCATGAGGCCAGAGGTACAGGCTGGGGAGAGAGGAGGCAGTGAGGCAGGAGGAGGGACCGTGAGCATTTAGGCAACTTCATTGTGTAACTTGCTTGTACCTGAAGGCCTGATCAGGCCAGACCATGTACGTACTGCTGTGCTTGACCAACTCCATGGCTCTATGACTCAGAAAACACCCACCTCATGATGGGCGGCTCAGGTCTCATGGTGACTAGGTGGCCCACTGTCAAGCTTTCAGGCCCAATAAGGCTTCCTGCAGACCAAGATTTGTTTTTTCAAAAGGAGAGTAGTTAGTTATGTGTGGTTAATGGCAGGGCCTTGCTCCAAATCCTAAAGGGCCGACGCTGTGACCTACCTAGGGAGGCTGCCAGAGCCTCCAAATACCATCTTGAATTGGAATAACATGTGCATGGTAGCAATGTCAATATCCTGGTTGTGATATTGCACCATAGTGTTTGTAATTTTTTACCTTTGGAAGAAACTTGAAAAAGAATACCTGGGACTTCTCAATACTATTTCTAATAACTATATATGAATTTGTCTGCATAATGTACAGTTATCTCAAAATCAAAAAAATTAATTTATAAACAGTGTGGGTGGTTTTGGAAGGAGCAGTAGGTGGAAGCTGGGAGGACATTGACATAAGAGTGAGAGAAAGCCTGCAGAACTTTAGAGAAACTACCAGAGGAGCCTCATGGCATCTGAGGAGGCTGCCAGTAAGGGCTCCAAGGAAAAGTGAAATACTGTCCACCTCAGAGCCAAGGGGGTCCAAGACATGGAAATTCATAAGAAAGAGCAGGAGCTCTTATATACCTTGCTATTCATAGATCAAGAGGAAACTCAGTAAGGAAGGGCAAGGGGAGGGCTCAGGAGAACAGAACAGGGTTAGGGCCGTGCATTATAGGCCTGAAAGACATACAGTGAATGCTTTTGTCAAGTCCCTAACACCAAGGACATGCTATCTTCAGCACCTACTGCCTACAAACCAGGCTTTTTTGCCAATTAATTTAATTGATAAATTCAGGTAGAAAGGGTATCCATCTCCTTAAGGAAGCATTTCCAAAGTGTTGAGTGCAGACCATAGAATGTTCCACACAACCATTAAAGAGACAAAATAGACATGTGTGGGACAGGGAAGGATATCCTTGATTCAGCGATGAGTGAACCAAAGTGTTGAATAGCAGGATAGCCCTCTATGCACATATTAAATGGAAAACAAAGTTCTGTGGGATATACACCACATAGGGTAAGGAGGTGGCCCTTGGAGAGGGAGAGAAGAGAGCAATGGGTGAGCAAGGATGAACTTTCTTTGTGTTCCTATTGACTTTTTTTTTTTTAGGATTTAATTTATTTACGACAGAGAGAGCACAAACCCGGAGCAGCAGATGGAGAGGGAGAGAAATATTCCCAGCTGAGCAGGGACCACCACTGGGGCTCCATCTCAGGACTCTGGGATCATGGCCCAAGTCGAAAGGCAGACACTCAACAGACTGTGCCACACAGATACCCCTCCTGTTGACTTTTCAATAGGCATTTACCTCTTTGGCAGTTGAGAATCCTTTAGAGAAAGGTTCATGACCCTTGCATCCTGTAGGCCAACACAGAAACTACAATCCTGGAATACCGAACCATCCAGAAACATTTCACCAGACCTCATGTGGCCACTCCGAGGGGGTGTGCCTTTGCCATCAGGAGCCATTACATTTCCAGTCTCTGGTGTCATCAGCTGAGTCCAAACAACCTGTGCTACTCCAAAACATAACTGGGCTGAGTCCCAAGCCCAGAATCCCTCTTTTTTGCCTGCTTCTGCTGCTCTATGGGTCCCACCAACTCCCCAAAGAGGAGCAAGAACTTGAAGTCCAAGAGAGGGTAATGGCTTCAGGCCTAGCCTCACACAATGCCTCCTCCCTCTGACACCTAAATGACAATCCTTTTTTGTTGGTTTGTTTAAGTAGGTCCCTACAGCAGGGCTTGAGCCCACAACTCTAGGATCAAGACCCAAGCTGATATCTAGAGGCACATGCTTAACCCACTGAGCCATCCTGGTGCCCCTGGATGATAGCATTCTTGCTATTGCTTCAGCTTGCAAGCATCGCCTTGGGATGCACAGTCTCTTTTCTCTCACTGAATCCATCATTGTCCTGCAGCACTGCTCCTTGTCTGACCCGGACTGAAAGTTTCTGTATTGGTGAAGGAAGAACGTGATGGGCCAGCTGGGAAGTTAGGGCACCAAGATGGCGAACTTTCCCGCCACTCTCACAATGGACCTCCATGTCACCACCAGAAGACCCATACTCTCCACCCAGGAACCTCCCAGTTGGGAAGTGCCAATCACCTACTCGCCGCCCCGTGCCCCCTGAACACCACATACCTTACCGTATATGAACTCATACTCCTGCCTTGAGGTGATCCGACACACCTTTTCC